ACTCCCGGTTATAAAGCGTCCACATGTCTGGCGTCTGCTGCTGGCACTCGTAGCTGTGGATTTAGACTCTGTGCTGCTTCAAACTTTAAGAAGCAGTCATAGTTCGAGGCGGTTAGCCCTCAGAGCTAACAGGCTTTAGCCTCGCCAAGCATGTTGGTGGACCCTGGCCGGGAGCTGGAAGTACTCTGATGTAAATACACAGTATTTCAAATAGTCGAAATACTGCTGGGATGTTGTAGTCGTGAGCTCTTTTTTTGAACAAAGCTGAAGTTGTGCAGAGCCGCAGCAGTCGATCTGTTTGGGCTAACGGGGTTGAACTAAGAGAAATCCTCATGATCTTCTAGCACACTGTGCAAATACATAAGTTAACATATAAAGATGCGTGTTATATATGCAGCGTGAAGCTTGTAGACATGTATGTGTATTACTGCATGATCTTTGCAGAAAATACATGTTGCTGTGTGCGACTCACTTTGTTTCCCTCTGCGTCTCAGTCTCTGGTCATCCCTGAGAAGTTCCAGCACATTCTTCGTGTCCTGAACACGAACATTGATGGCAGGAGGAAGATCGCCTTCGCCATTACTGCCATCAAGGTGAGCTCCTCCCTGAGACTGTGCCGCTTGTTACAACTGGATGTTTTTCATCATCACATCAGTTGCTCTGTTTTCTGTGATTAACACTTTGTCTCTTCTCAGGGTGTTGGCAGACGTTACGCTCATGTTGTCTTGAGGAAAGCCGACATTGACCTGAACAAGAGGGCCGGAGAGCTGACAGAGGAGGAGGTGAGGACTGTTCAGAGCTTTGAATGAAAACGGCGAGTTGTGATGCTTTTGTGTTGTCAGGAGATTTTGTCACTGGAGCTTTAGTGGTGGTTCTGAATCTGCAACAAGTATCACGAGTATTGATTTGTGAAGCGTTTGGAGGGTCGGCCCTCTGCAGGCCGGTCTCGAGCTCACAGAGGATATGGCTATAGAAATATTTTAATCGTCCTCAGAGCAGCGTCTTGTTTTACTGCATGAAGGCAAAGAGACGGCACTTTGTTCTGTGACGAACGGTGCTCACAAGTCGGAGGAGTGAAGTGTGGCTATCAGCAGCAGGTTAACGTTGGCACTAGGGCGATATGACCAAAAATATTTATCACGATATGCATTTGAAAGTTTGCGGTAACGATATAATTGACACGAGACAAAATACTTTACAGCTCCTCAACTTTGTTAGTGCAAAAACAAAAA